GAATGCTCGTCTATCCTAATACTTTTATTTCCTATTCGTCCTTATGAGATTTCCGGCAAAGCCCTACCCTTTACTCCTCGACTTTATCTTACCTCAGGACAAATACCCGCGTCTTTCCACTTGGAACCTCATCGACATTTGAATGGTACATTAGCCATAGAGTACTTTCATAATGACCTCTGCAAACTCGTAAGAAAAATTAAATTTCCAATATTTTTCATCGCCCATGTACATATATTCGTGGAGTTATCGACCGATCACATGGAAAAGAAATGCCACATAGTTTTAACACGCATGTCCACCGCAGAAGAGAGCATCCGTGAGTTTCCCTCTGTATCAATGCAGTATTTATTAAAATAAATAAGAACATTTTACAGACAATGGCAATATATTGACTGTCAATTTAATAACAATATTTTTGCAGTATTTGATTACTAGGATTGGCGTTATTTAAATAAAGAAATAAGATCTGTTCAGCATGACCTTTTTAATTTTTCTAAAATAAACTAAATTGACGAGGTTTCTCTATTCTGAAGGCGCATAAATTTAATTTGGAAAGTTATAGTTTGCAGAGTTATAATATTTAAGGAATTGAGTTTAATTTGGAATGTATTCAATAGTTTTGCTGTAGTGTTCTATAACTAATTATAAAAATTTTTAAGCGCTCGAATCATTTTATCCTTCAGCCTACCAAGTATATTCCGACCTCCACGACAAACCGCCATTTTCTGGGAAGGACCTGATGATCATGGCCCAGGACACCTTTCTCACTTCACTCTCCCAAAGGATACTAAACTCTGCTCAACATTTACAGCTCTTTTCTTTTCTGAACTCATTGGATCTGCGCTCATCACTTTGTCCTACTATTTTATCGATCCAAGGCTGAACTACAACGCAGTTACTGGAGCGCTCTCTGTTTGTGGCCTCGTTTACGCAGCTGTCTGGTTAACCTATCCTATCTCTGGGTCCAATTTGAATCCAATGATTACGCTGGCTTTCTGTTTAACTAGGAGAATTCCTTTCAAGTATCTTTTTGTCTATTGGGCTGGTCAGTTTGCAGGAGCTGGGCTATCCATGGGTATTGCTCACTTAGTGTCACCATTTTCGAAAGTGATTGCTAATATGGGCATGACGCTTCCACAGCAAGGAATTTCGGATTTCACTGTAATGATTATTGAGTGTATATTTACGTTTTTGTTAATCATTGTCATTTGCTCTGGAACGGATGAACTGAGAGACTACCTGTGGACTACTGGAGATGGATCAACTCTGGCCTTCGCGTATGCGCTTGCTTATATGATCAACCACATGGCCTTAGTAAGTGGATTCAATGCTAATAACGAAATGAACTCCTTAAACTGGGTTTAACACAACAAATAAAAATTAGCCTATAAATTAAATTACGCAAATCAGTATGAATTAGGGTTAATTGGAGTTGATGATAGCTTTGGAGTTACCATATCAAAAAAAGATTAATTAATCACTTATGCTTCTTTTAGGCAAATATAACTGGGTGTGGAACAAATCCTTTTAGGAGTCTAGTTCCCGCACTTTTGCATGGCAAATCAAACCATATTTGGGTAGGTATTCATGAAGTAAATACAATTATGATATTTTTCACATTTCGCTCTCATTCACTAAAATTCCTGCTGTAATGCTCATTCGCTAAACTTATAATAGAAGGCCACAATTGAATAATGTTATCAAATGGCATAAAGTTAATCGCGGTTGCATCGGATCGCTCAGTAATCCCTGTGGCGCATTCCCCTCGTTAGGAATGGCCCCTGGGGCTTGCTAAGTGACCACGAAGCATTGGAGAAAACAGACATTTGACGTGAAATACGTTTGCTTGGGCTGTGTGAAGGGGTAGGGGAGGGGGGGGGGGGGGTGTTGGTCATTTTAATGCAATGAAGGTTTTGTTAAACCAAATGAGGGCAATTGTTCGGCAGATGATTGCGTGGCCTCAGCGCTAACGACCGCACTTACTCCCTAATCGAAGCAGTACTACCGCACTTTCGAGTGTGTATGAGTGCGTATGAAATTCCTCTGTCCGGCGACGGCAATTTTCTGTGCTCCACATGGTAAAGCATAAACTTGGAAGGGATGGAATGACCTATTGATTACATATAAAATTTCCAATGCTCAAGACATTCCAATTTTGGTTGATAAATGTAGAAATCATTCATCAAATGCTACTTTTCTAATTGAAATCAAACACAATCTCAGGGAAGGACAATGTGCTTATACAATAAAGATGTTCGATCAGTAAATATTCTTGTTGAAATCGGTGGTTGAATCAGCGGATTGTTACTAGCAGTCAACAAATAATGAATACCAAATAATATTTGAAATAATTGCAACAAAGCTCTTAGTCGAGTTATGACATGGACCAGCTAGTGTTTGATGACGCGTGCACCACTAGCAAACTAATCTTAATTATAATTTTATAATTCATAATCGTTTCCTTTTGAGTAATTTGGGATTTAGACAAGAGCAATTATTGAGATTGAGGGTGAGTCAAGGCAACGGCTATAAATGGGAGAGACCTTCTAGGAACTTGGCGATATTTTTAAGTAGAATGCTTTGTGGCATTACGGTAACACAATATTGGTACACTAATGATATGTTTTTTTCTTTCAAATTATAATCGTATAATCTTTTTTTCTGAAATTATGTAGGCCTACCTAGTCGGGCCTATACTTGGAAGTTTTATTGCATCCATCTTTTATGAATTTGTTCTAAGTGATGACGCATGCTGGGTTCGAACTTTGCACTTGGTTTCATCGTCACAGTTTCAAAGGAATTACATCTACAGTGATAATGAAAATCTGATAAATCATTCCCACACTCGTAAGCCGCAATATGACTCATTTTTTAACTAGGCTAATTAATTAATTAATTAATTTATTCATTTATATTTTCTTATTTTATTAACACTTCCTTCCAATGTGCTTGAAAATGTTAAGTAAATAATAGTCCTTTTTATGCAGGCACTACTGTAGCGGATTGGCCACCTTGACTAAACTCAGAAATCTCTGTAGCATATTCTCCTACATCTAACTAGACTCCCAGAACTAGTTAAGCTACATCCCAACCATAGAGGAAACAGGCGTATCGCAAGGAGCACGTTTATTTAGGGAATATATTGTGGTAAAACAATGCACACCGAAAGGTTAGTCATAATCAACATGACGGATCAGCTTAAAAGATGAAGGCTTCTGATTGGCCATTGGTTGAGCGCGGATGAGATCACGTGTTAGGCGATGGCATACCACGCTACTATCACCCTTTATGGAATATTCTCAAGCAGAATTCCATTTTTTTATTATTTTCTATTTCAGACACAGAAGCAAGCAGAACAGAGAGAATTAGCACTTAATAGCTGTGCAACAGAGTCCCTGATTATTTGGTCCTTTATTCCTGGAATGAATTAGATGGAATAATTGTAAAGAAATGTGAAGAAATGTTTGTCCAATGGACTACCGCAATATATAAAATTCAAATCCACGAATTTTGATCCTACTTTTTGTCGTTTTAGCGAATTTTATTAATTTCTAAGATTGTGTTTCAGGAGTTAGAAGAGGAATAAGGACCTATTTTGTAGTTTTAATGAAACGACGGCTTATTTATTTACGGTCCTGCAATGCCAAAGTTTAAAGCTGGAACATTTCTACTATTAGGTGGCTTTAATGAAGACCCACGCCATTAGTGTTGGTCTCCATTACATTTAGTTATTACATCCAATATGGTTTATCGCTTGTTAAAATGAACTTATCAACTACTCGCGTTTCTGATTATCGAAAAGCGATAATTTATGGTCATTATAGTGTTAAATTTAGCCTAACTCTCTCAATAAGTATTAGTAAATTGGAAAGGGGAGAAAATTGACAGTTTTTTAAAGACATCCATTTGGCATCGATCAAAGGTTTCGAAATGATTAGTTTTGACTACTAAATCTCCTTGGTGAAAAGTCAAGTAGGCACTCCAAAAGACGCCAAAGTTGTATCTTGTGGAATTGTAGGTGCCATTACCATGTTGGGATTAAATTGATTGGGTCTCTGAAATGTGAAGACTTATTGGATATCCTATCATCCAAAATTTTTCGTAACGCAGAATACAATGAAGGATAATTTTACTTGTTAACCACAGGGGCAAAATTAATTGAAGGCAGCAAACACAATTAAAACTCTCAATAAGCATTGAGCATATGTAATAATTAGGGGACGACTAATGACATTTGAATTTTGGAATGGAAGTGCCCATTAGTTAGGCATTGTACGAACTAATTCCAAAAATTCATTGAAATTCATTTCATGTTAGTGACGACCTTTCTTGGATCTCACTACTTTTACCATTTGGTTGTCTTCTCCCTTCCGACAGTAAAAAAATTATGCACTATTTTTGTACTACCTATTGGCTTAAAACTGACAGAAGACTGGGTCAATATTTTCCATCTATCACTTCTATTCCATCGAATCATTTGATAACAGCTCGAACGTTTCTTTGATGCCTCCCAGAAGTTGCTATTATTCAAAATCCATAACCTTACATCCCTGCATAGATTCGCACCTATGTATCTCCGACATAAGGCTACAACTATTCAGGTCCTAATAAGAACAATAGAGATTACTCACAGTTGAAAAAGTTTTCTTTTAAGAAAATAAATTTCCCTACGTAAAACCGAAAAATATTTTGATTTTCTAATAACAGTGGCGATAATTCTTGCCCCAGTGATTATAAATATTGCAATTCTAGCCTAAAAATTCGCTAATCAATAAATCAGTTCAAGTGTGATGACGTCTGTGACTTTCATTCGAGTGCACTGAGAAAATATTCTATAAGATTTCCTAACCAAAATGAAGATAAGGCCTTTAAGGACCAAATTTGAAAATTTTCTTGTTTACAATGAATTACTCGATTGCAGAAGTTATAGACGTTTGGACTACTGAATTTCGAATTTGCAGCATGATTTGAAAGGAAGTATAAGGATTAAAAATCTGGACACTTTACCTGTTTATTACCAGTTTAAACTGTGAAATGCACCGAATAAATAAATCTCATGATCATTCAGATAGACTTGAAGGTGCAGTCGTATTAATTTTCGCTTACGGAGCAAGTGCTGTCGTGAGCACGAAGACCACTCGGTCAACTATCAATCAATAGTCCCTTCTTTGTTTAGCAAAGCCTTCATTGTACTTTAACGACTAAGCTCTGTGATAAACAAAGACCAAGTAAACATGTTCCACGCCAAACGTCTGTTTCCTCTTTACCGTTGAGGGGGCGTAGCTAATCCCGGGGCATATTCCAAAGGCGCAGATCTTGTCATAAAGATTACTTAGCCCAAGTCAAGGTTTATGAGTGTAGCAATTCGATTTCACACAGTCATTGAATTACTAAAGAAATCGCTGAACTATTTAGGAGATTTTAGGCCTTAGTAGACGAATTTTTCCAATTGTTTATTAGTGAAGTTCTCTACTTAACCTCAGTCAACTTAAGCTCTATTTACTTTTGCCAATGAGTTGTTGCAGATATAAGACAATTTACTACATTTTACAACATTTCACCCACTGAATATAATTCTGCCTAAATTTCATTTGTTTACCGGCATGCCTGTGCAATTTGCCACCGGAAGTGGACGAAGTAAAGAGATACTACTATCACTCGTCTCATCAAGTGTAACTGCGGAGGATACTGCGTAAATGAGCTTTGACCGAAGCTTAACGATTTTTTCCCACAAAGTCTGATAATATAAGATTTCTCAGAAAAGAGAGCGTATATTATAGAAAGCGTTTATTACATATGTTACCTTAACTACTCACACTTTTGTCCATTACATATAATCGACGAAATATCAAACTCGATTGCTAACTGGCTGAAAGGTATCTTTACTCATAGTTGTCCATTCCAGAATGTTTCCTGTCGAACAAGATTCCTTTGTTTAACCTTGGCGGCGGCGCGCAATCCACATGTCTGCCCCTCAACTGAAGAAATAAATGTGGTAATAAGCATCACTTTTAAAGTCTTTTTCAATGTACTAATTTGCATTCCTGAAATTGTCTTTTATTTGTTTAATAATGTAACTTATAGTGGCTGCCAGTGTTACCTTTTTCTATTCCCATTTTGCTTCCCCACTTAATTAAAATGAAAATTCTAAAATGTCACAAGTCCATAAGAAATTGACCTGTAATGAAAAGGACGAAACAAGGGTTGAAACTAAAGATCCAATTAGGACTGGGTTAATTTTTTCGTGAGCAGACATGATACGATTATCATCGTATTTATTAAATAAGTTTTAGGAAAACGATGCACAATTTAGAACTTATTCTTTGGAACTTGAAACATTTCAATTGTCTTTGTAGCGGATTCCT